ATAGAACTTCCGAATTAAACATAGCTTCATCTAATTGACTGTTTTGTTCATCTTGAAAAAACATATTCTCTCCATTATAAATTGAATAGCAATGTGAAAATTCTCTAAAATAATTATACCAAACATCATGAGGAATAATTGAGATATTAGTACTTTTTGTATCTATACGCAATCTGTTTATAATCTTCCAAAACAGTTTAGAATCTTTTTGATTAATTAGCAATTTACTCACTGAAGAACAGTATTTAATCTTTTTAGCTCTAACTATATTTCTATAGATTCTTTTGTTTAGCAAGTATTGATTTAAATAATGATACGAATTAGATCTTCCAAACTTCTGTAGACTTTTTTGTTTCTTAATTTTATAGTAGTAACATTTTTTGTCATACCAAAATTGTTTAAATTTATTGATCATCTTATTTTTGTTAACTTTAAAAAAGAAGGATTGTAATAGATCTATTAGATTATTATAGTTTCTATATGGATTATTAGTCATTTCATGTAATATTAATTCATCAGAAGTAAATTATAATTCTTTCTGAAATTTATGAAAATTAAACTTGACTCTTAGTTGTTCCACAATATCCAAAGAAATATGGGGTTCTTTGATTAAACCAATATTTTCCTTATTCCCTTTTAACACTAAGTTCACAGGAAAATGGTCTGATAAATCTAATTCAAGAATTTCCATAAACAAACATTGATCAAGCATAGCTTGAGAGCACATAATATAGTCAATAATAGATTTTCCATTATGCGAAATAAAAGTGAATTCAGCTGGATAGTCTCCTATAATTCTACCATTCAGTATAATTAAATCATTTTCCTGAGAAAAATTTAATATTGTAGAAGCATCTTTAGAAATAAATTTATCTTTCGATAGCCTTTTATTATATATAAAGTCACTATTACCTTTATACTTTAAATCCATAGAATCTCCTATACGAATATTAAAATAACCACCAACAAGCCAAAAGTTTATAACATTAAACCAATGGTTGATAGATTATTGCAACTTTTTAAAGTATGTTATTTTTTTTGTAGAAGGAGAAAAATAAGCCAGAATTATTCCAATTTGAGTTTCTCCCCATAATATTTGTAGAGACTGATTAATAGCTATTATCAGCAAAATAAAGGAATCAGTAATATAATATGAATAAATCATACCAAATGATCTCTTTACCATCAATATGAGACCACCAGAAGGGCGTCCGAATCTGCTATACCTCAGAGCTTTACCAATTATTATTGTATACTCTTGATCAAACTCTTTCTTATCTTCTTCACATAATTCTTCTATCCAGGTCTCTGTAAACCCAATAATACATAATTGTTTTATATATTTTTTAACATCGGTATTTTTTTAAATTTCCCTCGTAATCCCTGTATATTCCAGAAANTGTTTTATATATTTTTTAACATCAGTATTTTTAAATTTCCCTCGTATTCCTTGTATATTCCAGAAACCAATTTGAATTTTAAAACTATCTTCAGTATATGCTTTAATATAAGAGCGTTGATAAGTAATGCAAGTATTGTAAGGAACCAAGTCCGAGTGTTATTTTTATTTACTTTTATTTTTGCCTTTTATTATATTTTTGTTTGTGGCTTATGTTTTGTTAGGACGAAGGTCTCCTTACTGCTTACTTTAGAAACTTAAAAGTAGAAGAGAAACCAACTCACTGACGAGAGAAAAGCGCCGTAGAAAAAAGCTCGCCCACACTTGCGCTCCCAAGCGGAAAAAAGTAAGTCCGTATTGAGAAAAGGGGGGAGACCCTACAAGCCCAACTTAGGAACTTGCTAAACCGTAAAAGAATAAAGCATCCCGAAAATTGTCAAAAAGAATAATGTAAAAGGTTAGCGAGTATTGTCGGAAAATAGACTGCCAGACAAACAGAAAAAAGTTTGTTAGCAAATAAGTATGTAAATGAGGGGAGTGATCGCATTCAGAATTGTGACGTCACCTCACAGTATAAAGTCTGAACCTCAAGTGAAGATGGACGAGGTGAGCTTCTGTTAGGAACGAGCATAGTGAACTTCGTAGCAGCGAACAAGAGGTGTCCAATAGCGATAAAATGGTTCCAAGGCCATTTGAAGTTATTCGATTTGTGGATCGAAGATTAGAGAAAGTCTTGAGAGTTGAGGAAAAGGTTCCTAGTATATTGAGGTGATGATTAGGATCTTTAATTCATAAGAATTATTGTACATAAGTTAAGTCTTTGACATTTCGTTGAATTCCAAAGAGGAATAGAGTTAAGTTAGAAAATAGATTGAATTGAGTTTTGTCGGGTTGATTCTTATTGATTTACATTGAATAAATTGTTATTTGATTTTTACTAAATATTGTATATAGTTTATTACTAGAACTTTTATTAAATATTGGATTGTTTTTGACTAACTTTGTCATTATTTAATTTGGTGCACGCTTAAAGTCCAGGCCTGGCACACTAAAGCAAATTTGCGTAAAATACCCGTTAGGGAATGGCTATTTCCGGCACTCAGTCGTGTCGATAATCGTTGTAGAAAGTCGGAAAACTAATCTAGTACTTTACAGTATGGACTTGTTTCCCAAGAATACACAGTCTTGTTTTATGGTAACAATGAGTCCTCCTATTAATTTACAAGGAAATTGGGCAGTTGGACTTAGCGAAGTTATTATTCCAAGAAAATAGTTTAATATATCTAATCACAATAACGATTACACTGTTATGTTTGAAGAGATTATAAAAGAAAAAGATGAGCTGTTGCCAGATAAATCATATTTGATTCCTTTAGTTTCTATTAAAGATAAAGAAAGTAAATTGTTTGATGCAATAAATGGCAACATACTTTCGTTAACAAATTTTAATTTGGCCAAATTTATTTTTGATGAAAATAAACCGTAGATATAAATGTAAAAGATGGGCACGAGTTGCACGTCATCGTAGAGCATGCGTCGAAATTACTTTATATGCTAAACGTACCTAATGAAGATATTATATTAAGAGAAAATTCTACTTATAATTTTCAATTATGAACACAGGATTATTCCGATCAATTTTTTACTTTAGTGGAAAAAAGAAGTAATTAAGAAAACTTATAGAGATGAAAAAATCTTTATTCCTATTGGATTATATTCTTCTCTAAAAAAGTTTCTAGGAATTTTTAAATATATAAAGCTAGCATTATTATCAAATAATAAAATTATTTTAAAAGTTTTTTCAAATATCTTCGTAGAATTTGGAAATGAATTAAAAGATTTTCTAGGGTTTACAACCATAAAATTTTCACCTGGGGAATATGTAAGTCACTATCCAATCGGAATGTCTGCTGGAATTTCGGAAATTTTTGTTTATTCGAATATTTTTTCTTCCCATCATGTTGGAGATATAATTGCACCATTACTAAGAGTTATACCTGTTATGGGGGAGAAAGAAGATCAGATAGTTAAAGTTTATCCCACGCCTTTGTATTTTCCTGTAAAGAAAAATTATATAGATTTTATCGAAATTGAACCGAGATCTGCAAGTGGAAAAGTAATTATATTTTTTGGTAAAAAAAACATTATTAGTTTTATCTTTTAAACAGTTATAAATATTATCTAGTTTTATTTGCCAATGTTAGTTCATCTGTGAGAAGTATAAAATGAAGCTCGATCCTAAAGTTCGAATTGAATTACAAACAGTGATTTCATGCGCGGGGAATAGTGCTGTAGGTACGGATAAAATCCACTACAGCATGATTAAAATCTGTCAAGTAATTCCCTTTCTAATCTCCTGCATCTGTTTAACAGAATATGGACAGAAAATACTTTTCCTGACTCTTGGAGACTATCAATTATTATCCTTATTCCAAAACCCGGTAAAGACCGCAAGAATCCCTCTAATTACAGACCAATCTCTCTGACAAGTTGCCTGTGTAAACTCTTTTGAGAGGATTGTAAACAGACATTTGATGTTTCTCCTAGAGGAAAAGAACTACTTTTCACCACATCAGAGTGGATTTCGTAGGAACAGAAGTACCACGGATAATCTAGTAAAACTTGAAACATCTATACGCGAAGCGTTTGTTAGACGACAACACTTAGTGTCTGTATTCTTTGATATAGAGAAGGCCTATGATCGCTGCTGGCGTTATAGAATACTTTGTGATATACATGAATTCGGATTTCGGGGTAATTTGCCAATTTTCATAAAAAACTTTTTAGAGAATCGAAGATTCCAAGTCAGGATGGGCAACACTTTATCTAGGCCTTTCACGCAAGAAGGTGTTCCTCAAGGTTGTATTTTGAGTGTGACTCTGTTCCTAATTAAAATTAATAGCATAGCTAACTGTCTTCCTTCCAGTGTGAAACACTCTTTGTATGTGGATGACTTCCAGATCTTCTGCCAGTCTAGCAACATGAGTTTCATCGAGAGACAACTGCAAACCTCCCTAAATCGCATAGACCATTGGTCCAAGACTAATGGTTTTAGTTTTAACATGGAGAAGACCTTGTGCATCCACTTTTGTCGAAGGCGTGGCTTGCATTTGGATCCGGAAATTTACCTAAACGGGGATAAAATCCCAATGGTGAATGAGACAAAGTTTTTGGGTGTTTCTTTTGACCCAAAACTGACATTTTTGTTGCACTTACGCAACCTGAAGTGTATATGTTTAAAATCTGTAAACCTTTTAAAGGTACTATGCTGCTCATCCTGGAGAGCAGACAAAGTTTTGATGCTCAGGATTTATAGGGCCCTTGTCCGCTCTAAGCTGGACTACGGTTGCATTGTTTATGGCTCTGCGCGAGAATCTACTCTTCAGATGCTGGATCCAATTCACCACCAAGCACTACGTTTGTGCACTGGTGCTTTTCGAACTTCTCCTGTACAAAGCTTGTATGTGGATGCTTATGAGCCTCCACTATCTCTCAGGAGAGAACAGTTGTTTGTATTTTACTATATAAAACAGAAATTTCAGACTTAACCTTCAGTTGATTGTACAGTATTAGATACTCAGCTGAAAAGGTTATTTGAAGCTCGCCCAAGCAGTGTCCCTTCATTCGCCATAAGAATGGAGAATGTGAGCATCACGATTGATCTGAACACAGGCAACATTTCACAGCTAGAGGTCTGTAATATATCTCCTTGGTCAACTCCTGTGATAAATGTTGGCCTTAGCTTAAAGCAATTTCCAAAGGAATCCACCCCAGATTATGTCTACAGACAGCACTTTGCAGAAATTCAACACCATGACAGGAATTTAATTCCTATTTATACAGATGGATCTAAATCTGATGATTACGTTGGCTCAGCTTTTGTCTGCCAGGATGAAATCGTGGCAGAACAAATTGCATTGAATTCTTCCATCTTTTCTGCAGAGTTGCATGCTATTTATCTAGCTTTAAAGTATATAAATAGGAAAGGTCATCGTTCCTGTGTTATTTACACTGACTCAGTTAGTGCACTTCAGGCTTTGATTTCATGTGAACCTAGTTCTCACTCTATAGTGATTAAAATTCGTAAGCTCTTTTGCCATCTTACTGCGAGTAATTTCTTTGTAAAATTTTGTTGGGTCCCAGGCCATGTAGGTATAAAAGGGAATGAAGAAGCTGACGCAGCTGCAAAGTCAGCTACTCCTTTACAGCATATAATGCGTATTGAAGGAGTCGATTTGAAGCTAGTAGTTAAAAAACGACTAGCAGAGAGATGGCAAAACGTGTGGAATGCACAAGTCCACAATAAACTACATGAGATCAAGCCAAATATAGAAAATTGGACACATAATAAACAGTATGACAGGAGATCTGAAGTAATTCTTACTCGTTTGAGAATTGGGCATACTCGGTTGACTCATCAATACCTTTTGAAGGGTGAAGACCAGCCAGTATGCGAGTATTGCAACTGCTTTCTAAGTGTAAAACACATGCTTTGCAACTGCACAGCTTTTGATCAAAGTCATAGACAGCATTTTGGAAATGCAAGTTTGAGAGAGATTTTGGGCCAGAGGCCAAATCTTGACAAATTATTGAACTTTTTGAAAGTGAATAATATTTATAAACATATTTAATTATTTATCTAGGTTATGTTTATATATACCTTGTTGATTATTTATTTATTTATTCATTTATGTATATATCTTGTTATTATTTACATGTGTATTGTTATATATTGTTCTGTTATTGATTTTGTTATTTATTAGTTTATTTATTTATTTATATTAAACATCTTACATTATATATATGTATATATATATTTATTTATTTATATATACCATTTGCCATGGCGCAGCTTGGCCTGTATGGCCCTTGCGCCAATATACTCTAACAAACTAACTAACTAACTAACTTGTGGTATTCTCATTGGTTCTGGACGATCACATGTTGTCTTCATCTAGTCACAGGATAGCTAAAAGTTTATAGTTCATTGTGCACTAGGGAAGAAAAGTATGTTTTTTTCCCTTAAAAGTTTTATTAAAGTATCGCAGAATGAATCGTTTTTAGAAATTTTATGCATGTGTACAAGCTTGGGATTTTGGTATTCACAAATGTGAGGTTGAAAAACGTCTTCAGGGTTTAAGATGTAGGTTATCATCACTTAGGTATGTATGTTAGACAAAATTTATTTCGTTTTAAAAGTCTCCCTCTTTTTCTTATTATTAAGTTATCACTAAGTATTCTATCTCCCATATTTAAAATATTCTATATAGGAATTCAGTATTACTCTATTCGTTCGATATTGTCTATAAGAGTGGGATTTTATTTTTTAAAGTGATATCTTCTCTCATTATTAATATTAACTTACAAACTAGAGGTATAAATGAACAGAAAATTGGGTGTAGAACTATTTCCTTTCTCGTACAGGTAACTTCTATAATCTAGAAATCAAATTGGATTTAGACCCTCGGGATTGCTTTTTCGTATTTCCAAAAGGAATAAACTAGCAAAAAACGAGAAAGGAAATTGTATTTATCAAGACATTTTTCTGAATAGCAGCATAATCCCCTGATAAAGAAAGAATGAGAAACAATGTCCTTGCCAAGATATTGATATAAAATAATGGTGGTTGAGGGAATTTCTCTCTCCTTGAATCTCTTTTATAAATCTTGTGTGGATAATGCGGTTATTATTATTTTTTTCAATAGTTCAAAGTCGTATTGCTAGAAGAGGTGATGAGGAAGATTGGGAAGGGAGGTTGGAGTTTCCTCCTCGATCCTTTTGTCTTTTTTTCTCAAGTGTCCTCCTAAAATTGGCAAAAACAGCCGTTGATTCTTTTGTCAAGTTTAAGATAATTCTCTCACACCAATTGAACAAAAATTAGGAACGTTTAATCACTGGAGAAAGTCATTAGTAAAAGATACTCTTGCTTCTTGAAAAATTTGTCATAGGATGACCTCAGGAAAGGATTCTCCTCGGGAAATTCAAAGGAAAATCGTTCTATTATTGCAGTTGTGTGTCCATTCAAATAAATCGTGGGTAACCAGTGTCGGTTATATAATGTCACCGTTTCTGCTTATTTGTTGTCTGGATTCATGAGGGAAGTGTTCCAAAAAGCATAGGCTTGGTACCAGGTAGTAAATATGGTTAGGCTCCCCAAATAATTGTGTCGAAAAAGACATACACAAATATATATATATATATAATTTTCTCCAAATAAGGTTAGGTCTAGGTCTTTACATGAAAATGCCTTGAAGCTCCTTGTGTGACATCAAATTGTGGGTGCTTGCTTCTTTTTCTTCTGTAAGAAAAACCCATGAACAGATGCGTAAACCGAATAGAAGAGTCATATGGAGAGATCGATGGGACGAGAAACTTATATCTTAGATCTCGTAAGTGGGTAGTCTCCCTTTTTACGCTGGTCTTTTATTTGGGTATCATATGATCAGTTTTCTTTCTCTTCAGAAAGAGGAAAGAAAATGCAATCTGGTGTTGGGAGTCACAAAAATTATGTCACAGGATGTATTTGAACTTAACATGGAGGGTAATCTAGATTTCAAATTCGATGCGAAAAATGGTTTCTCTTTTTCTCACATAACTGGATAGCAAGGTACAAAAGTCTCTATCTCCAATGAAGATAAAGATGATACACAATAATTAGGCTGGAGCTCAGGTGTTTATCTGACAATGGATCCATACTCAACATGGAAGGTAATTTGGATTTTAACTTTGATGCGCAATAAGTTCACCTTTCACCTACCATACGAGAAGTTAGGGGGATAAAAGAAGTGTGATAGGGAATGGTAACTTTCTTCCTCAAACGAAGACAAAGATGATCCATCTCACGAAGGTTTTTCCCTTATTTTTTTTATATAAAATTCCAAAGAAGGAAGATGTATTCCATATCATCTGGTGAAGAGGACGTATTCCATTCTCCATATGGTACAGACAGTAACTCTAATTTAAGAATCCATTCCAGGGAAAGTGTAGACTTTGACATTCCTTTACTCTTGATTTTAAAACACTTTCTGGGTCACACTTATCTCAATCAAAAGGAAAACTCCAGGGGAAATGGCTGGGTCAGATCTGGATGGAGATGAGTACATTGTTTATATGGCCTTGAACTTGATCTTGATTTTTTATTACCAGTTTTTTTTTTTTCTGGGGATCTATAACGTTACCCAGAATTTAAGGGAGGTATCACGTATAAAGGTCAACCCCTATATGACGAGCCATTTAATAACATAGAGAGATGGGGAGTCACAATACATTTTACAAGTTCAATCACATTTGCCCCAAGTATTTTCTTCTTAAACGGAATTTTTAAACGCCCTACAAGAAGAGATGAAAGAGTGGAGAGGTCCCTTCTTATCTTCTCTCAAATTCAAGAACTTCCAACAACATCATGTGGTCTAGGAGAACTGCTTATATAAGTGGAAACGTTTGAGTTTCAAGGAAAACATGGCTCTGGAACATATTGTTTATTGGTCAGTCGACTTCATTCAAGCAAGAAATGATATGCAACGTTACTCCTCAGGTTTCGGATCAAATGACGTTTGGGAGTACGTAAGTGGCGTAACTTTGGTTACGTACCTATGGACATCTTACACCAGAAGTTAGAAGGATGAAATTACTGTCACAAAACGCAACTGTATGCCAATATCCAATCCTTTCAAAATTTCTTAATTGCTATACTTTCTTAAAAATGAGAACGTAAATTTCACTTCATGTTTCACGACAAAGGAAAGATGCTCTTCCAAGACCTTGTAACGAGGATAAAGACTTGACCGTCTATATCTCGTTTTAATATTAAAAGCCATCTATTAATAATGGTGTCCCTTATGGTATAAATATACATATATATATATACGTTTTATGACCAAACGAATTTTCACATGCAGGCGAAGAAACATAAAGGAGGGGACAAATCTTGGATTCCAAATAGTCCATCAAAGGATGCATTGCTTCATTGCTTCACCAGGAAAAAAAATCATACTTCATTTTATTACCAAGTTTGAAATCACAGACCTTGAAGAGTAAGGACTCCACATATTTGGTTCCGTACCACCTTAGGAGTTCATCACCTTTGATGAATAGAGGGAAATGGCTCAGCTTACTAGGAATATCTTGATCATTCCTTACTTATCTGTGTTGAGGTTCCCAATCCTCCCACAGAAAGTTTAATTCAGAAACCAGTATCTTCAGAAGCGTGCGGGTGTTTCCCAACAGCCGACATCCTACACATTAATAAGAGAAGGAAATCATCGAATAACGGGTCGTGATGGCTTAGGTTCAAATATGAAGAGTGACATGAATGAGGAAGTTTAATTTCGACACTTTACTTGACCTCTGTCAGGTTCTTACTCCACTATTGAAGGGCCCAATCTTCAATAAGGAGGATGGTTTCCGATAATGAGGAAAAGTGCTTATAATCATAATTTAAATTGGAAAATAACAATAATAATAATATCGTACTCCCTTATCTTCAAGTCATTTATGTATTCCGTTACTTTACTTTTAATTTCTAGTAAATCTTACAAAAGGTAAATCTGATCCTATAGAATCCAGATCAATGATTCGACTGATGAAGGGTCCCAATCTTCTATCAGGGAGGAAAATAATTTGGTTGACAAGGAGGGTCTTCTTAACAAGTAGGTAAATATTAACAACACTATATGCTTCCCTTTCTTCTAGCTAGTTTTTCTTTTGGCGCCTGCCCTTCTTAGTAAATTTTTATGTTTTTATTTATCTCTGGACGGACAACTCAACTGATGAAGGGTCCCAATCTTCAATCAGTGAGGACGTCTGCAATTACCCTCAGAAATTCTGACGATACCATAGTGGAACACAATAATTCTGATGATTATACACAAGATCATTATACCTTGGGTATTTTTCCTTTTTAAATGGGAGGAGAAGGAATGTTATGATTATTCCAGTCCAAATTGATGATAAAGGAAAAATTTCTATGCTCCTCCCTTCCTATGACACTTATTCAAGACGATATATTAAAAATAGGGGAGATTATTAAAATACTCTCTGCATTAGGTAGAAGCACAACCCTCTTCACAAACTTAAGTTCAAGTCCGTTTCTTCGGAAGGAAAATGTATAAGAATACGGAGAAATAAATTTGTGTAACCAACTGTTGATCTCGATTCTGTTTCTCAAAAAGGAAACTGCCAAGAATCAATAGATAACCAGATTTACCATTTTCTCACAGGTCTGCTCAAGATTGCCTCTTCACTGGGGATATAACTCCTATTTTCCAGAGATTATATTGGAAATTTCTGAAAAGGAAACTGTCAAGAAGAAAAAAAAATCAGTCAGATACGCCATTTCCTCACAGGTGTGGTGAAGATGGTGACATCGCGAATGCAAAAATTGTGCAAAACTAATGGAAAATCGTAGCGTATCCCATAAAGTCATCATATTCGGAGAGAATAACAACCAACCTCCCAAAACACAAGAGTTCTCTGATAAAGAGTTCAAACAAGATTTTGGAAATCAGTGGTAATAAAGCGTGTCAAAAGGAAGTACCAGACGGAAATCGGAGAGGAGTAATAAATAATATAGAGGGTGAGGCGATTTAAGCAAAATGTGGGATCGTCTTTACATTCTCCAATCTCCCCGTTCTGGTGGATTCAAAA